TCCAGCTCTCTCGGCCTCTCCTGGGGCTCCAGGCACTTCCCCAGCTCCATTCCCTTCCCTGGACACACTTTTAATGTCCTCCCTGACCAGAGAGGCCCAGCCTGGGCACAGGACTCGTGTGTGGCCTCACCAGAGCACAGGCGTCAGTAGACAGCCCCACACTCCTGAGCTGCCACCCCCTCAGTAAAAATGACAAATTACAGCTCTGTTTCCAGTCCCGACAAGGAGTGCCACAGCCATAGAGGGCATCCAGCAGGTGTTTGCTGAGGTGTCACTCCCCACCTGTCCCACACCTGGCCCTGAGCTCACCCCCGAGCAGGGCAGGCTGTTTGTTCATTGTTATAACATTCACTGCGGTGAATGGTGCAGAGGGGCTGCCTGGGGGTCTGAGGCAAAATCCTGCTGCCCCTTTTGGGTTGTGAAGTGTTTATGACATTAACAGAGCATTAACCTGGGTGGGTGCATCCACTGCTACATGACATGCAGGCGAACAATGTAAGTTATCCCTTCCTCAGATAGCAGGAAGATGGATTCTCCAGGCAGTTTCCCCACTACGGGCTGCGGATCCCCAGGCCATTGAACCCTCTGGGACCTGGAGACTGCAGCTCCCGCCCTGCCTTCTCCCTTATCTCTGTGCTTGGCAGGTGTCCGGCCATGGATTTCACACTTCCATTGACCTCCGGGCGCTGCCAAGGCAAGGGAGGCACGTCGGGCAGATAACGTGTTCCCATTCCGCCTCCCCCAGTCGCACTGGGGAGAGTTATTTAAAAATACAACAGATTTCAGGTCTGTCTCGACACAAATAAAAATTGTGGATTGTTTAAATCACATTTCCACGGCCTTCAGATTTAATAAAGGAGTTGTATTCTGGTAGCACCAAAATGTAAATGACATGTAGAGCAAGTATACAATGTAGTACATGTATTTTGCTTTCATATACTGTATGTCCGCATAATTTCCCATCAAATTCCTGTTTTGAGGTTTCCATTAATTAGAAGCAAACCATGACCTTGAAAATAAGTTACATAAACAGCATGGGTACACCGTGAATCGTGGAGTCCTTTAGGTTCTAAAAGACCCTTAAAGATCAAGGACTAGCAGGGAATTGCACATTAAGTGCTTTATTACCACCGATTCCCAGCTGAAATCGGTTGCTGCAAAATCTCGATGGTCACTAGCAAAGTGCACATTTAGAAAGCAGAGCAGCAATATTAAGTTTTAATCCAAGGCACAAGCTGTGTAGTCTGGGAGCGTTACACAAGCACAGCCGGGATGGCGAGGCCACGGAGAAACGCGTTTCTTGCCTCAATTTTGGCTCAAAGGCACTTGTTGGTACTTCTTCAGGCCTCCTTGGGGAAAAAATAAACAATCAGAGCGGCGGAGTTTTTGCGGCGATGCCGTGAGGAGCGCGGAGCGATGGTTCCTCCCGGGGCCGTCTGGTGACCTTTAGAGGTGACAGGGACGGCGCG